CTTCTCCTTCTTCTCCTTCTCCTTCTCCTTCTTCTCCTTCTCCTTCTTCTCCTTCTCCTTCTTCTCCTTCTCCTTCTTCTCCTTCTTCTTCTCCTTCTTCTTCTTCTCCTTCTTCTTCTCCTTCTTCTCCTTCTTCTTCTTCTTCTTCTCCTTCTTCTCCTTCTCCTTCTCCTTCTCCTTCTTCTCCTTCTTCTTCTTCTCCTTCTTCTTCTCCTTCTTCTCCTTCTTCTCCTTCTTCTTCTTCTCCTTCTTCTTCTCCTTCTTCTCCTTCTTCCCCTTCTCCTTCTTCTCCTTCTTCTTCTCCTTCTTCTTCTTCTCCTTCTTCTTCTCCTTCTCCTTCTTCTCCTTCTCCTTCTTCTCCTTCTCCTTCTTCTCCTTCTTCTCCTTCTCCTTCTTCTCCTTCTCCTTCTTCTTCTCCTTCTTCTCCTTCTTCTCCTTCTCCTTCTTCCCCTTCTCCTTCTTCTCCTTCTCCTTCTTCTCCTTCTCCCTCTCCTTCTTCTCCTTCTCCTTCTTCTTCTCCTTCTCCTTCTTCTTCTCCTTCTTCTCCTCCTTCTCCTCCTTCTCCTTCTTCTCCTTCTTCTTCTCCTTCTCCTCCTTCCCCTTCTCCTTCTTCTTCTTCTTCTCCTTCTTCTCCTTCTTCTTCTCCTTCTCCTCCTTCTCCTTCTTCTCCTTCTTCTCCTCCTTCTCCTTCTCCCTCTCCTTCTTCTCCTTCTCCTTCTCCTTCTTCTTCTTCTTGCCTTTTGAAGCGTTTTTATTAACAAGATGGTTAGCCCAGCGTGGCCCAGTCTCATCGGAGCCTGGACGCTCATCAGGGTGGGCCTCGGTTAGTCCTTGGAGGGGGGCAGAGTTCGAGTCCGGTGGCACCTTGAAGACCAACAAAGCTTTATTCAAGGTATTCGCTTTTCTGTGTGCACGCCCAACAGGAGCTTATGTCCGGAATAAAGCTTTGTCGGTCTTCAAGGTGCCCCTGGATGCTGCCGATTCAGATCAGATCAGCACGGCTACCACACCTGAATCTATCCTCGGATGGGAGACCACCTAGGAAGTCCGGGGTTGCTACACAGAGGCAAGCCATGGCAGACCCCCTCTGAAGAGAGCAGAGCCCTGCAGGACCTTTTACAGTTCTGCAGGGCCTGCAAGACGGAGCTCTTCCGCCGGGCATTTAGATGAGGCGGCAACCGTCCCATCCCCCACCTCTTTTGGGCCTCCCTCTCAGTGGGTCAGAGCCAGTCTGGTGTCGTGGTTAGGCGCGCAGACTCTAATCTGGGAGAACCGGGTTTGATTCCCCACGCCTCCACATGCAGCTGCTGGTGTGACCTTGGGCCAGTCACAAGTTCTTTCAGAGCTGTTCTCTCGAGGGCAGTCTTCGAAGAGCTCTCTCGGCCCCGCCTAACTCACAGGGTGCCTGTTGTGGGGAGGGGAAGGGAAAGGAGTTTGTAAGCCGCTCTGAGACCCCTTCGGGTAGTGAAGGGCGGGGTATAAAATCCAATGATAAAAGGGTTGGAACACTTTCCCTATGAGGAAAGGTTAAAGCGCTTAGGGCTCTTTAGCTTGGAGAAACGATGACTGAGGGGTGACATGATTGAGGTTTACAAGATGATGCATGGGAAAGAGCAGGTAGAGAAAGAGGTACTTTTCTCCCTTTCTCACAATACAAGAACTCGTGGGCACTCCATGAAATTGCTGAGCGGTCAGGTTAGAATGGATAAAAGGAAGTACTTCTTCACCCAAAGAGTGATTAACACATGAAATTCACTGGCACAGGAAGTGGTGGTGGCTACAAGCATGGACGGCTTCAAAAGGTAATTAGATAAGCATATGGAGCAGAGGTCCATCAGTGGCTATTAGCCACAAGGTATAGGTAGGGACTCTAGGGCAAGTGATGCTCTGTCTTCTTGGTGCTGGGGGGGGCCAACAGTGGGAGGGCTTCTAATGTCCTGGCCCCACTGGTGGACCTCCTGATAGCACCTGGTATTTTTGGCCACTGTGTGACAGTGTTGGACTAGATGGGCCTTTGGCCTGATCCAACATTGGCGTCTCTTATGTTCTTAATCTCTCTCTTCTTCTGTATTACTATCTGGGAACTCCAATTTGAAGTAAACCTCATCTGTTGGGGCACTGATTAGCATATAGGAATTTTATTGTATTTTATCAGCTGTGTTTTAATTGGTTTTTTAATTGTTTGTATATCGTGTTTGATGGAACCCGCCCTGAGCCTGATGTACAGGGAGGGTGGGATATAAATCCAATAAAATATGTAAACGGACAAACACCTCTGGCCCTGACCTGGATAGAAAGCAAGCAAGCACTGTACAAATAACGCAGACCACAAGTGCTCAAAGAGTCATGCAAAAAGAGTAAATTTATATAACAAGAATAACAGAGGACCACATGTATCAGTCAAACCAAATTACATTGTATAACGTACAGGTCCATGAATAGTGCAAGTCCATAAATGGTACACAGAGAAGGACGAAGAGTCCGGATTGTGATCTTCGTTTCGACAGCTCTTCTTCAAGAAGTTCACGAAGTACTCATGAACGTACAGAAGATTTTAAAGGGGTATATGTAGGAGGAAAAATCCTTAGCACAGCACTCACAGTGTATAAAAGCCTTCAGACCAGTATTACAGGGAAAAAACCTCAATCCTATTGTAATCATTCAAAGCCGGGCACCCGATCAACAATAGAACAAACTCTCCAATAGTCGGTAAGCCTCTTGAGTTTTTTCCTGTAATACTTACTGGTCTGAAGGCTTTTATACACTGTGAGTGCTGTGCTAAAGATTTTTCCTCCTCCATATACCACTTTAAAGTCTTCTGTACATTCATGAGTACTTTATGAAGTAGTGTGAACGTCTTGAAGAAGAGCTGTCGAAACGAAGATCACAATCCGGAGTCTTCGTCCTTCTCTGTGTACCATTTATGGACTTGCACTATTCATGGACCTGTACGTTATACGATGTAATTTGGTTTGACTGATACATGTGGTCCTCTGTTATTCTTGTCATATAAATGTACTGTTTCTGCATGACTTTTTGGGCACTTGTGGTCTGTGTCATTTGTACAGTGCTTGCTTGCTTTCTGTATATTGTATACTGCGATACCAGACCTGGATAGTCCAGCCTGGCGTGGTCTCGTCAGATCTCGAAAGTTTCGGGGCTGGACGGAAGAGAGTTGGGTCCCCCACAGTGGTGGCTTTTTCCTAGGGTCGCTTGGGGCCACCCCATAATTTATCCTGCCCAAAGCTGCCGCTTGTGCTGCCGGCGGATCCGGGCCAGCTTTCCTGCAGCGCCGCGCACAAAGGGGTGTCTAAACGCAGTGCCGTTGAGAGCGGACTGTTCATCCGTCCCCTCTCCAGGCACAACGGCAACATCCTGCTGGACGCCGAGGGACACATCATCCACATCGACTTCGGCTTCATCCTCTCCAGCTCCCCCCGGAATCTCGGCTTCGAGACCTCCGCTTTCAAGCTCACCACAGAGTTTGTTGACGTAAGTTGGGGGGGGAAGAGTGGGGATTTTGCAGACGCTCAGAGGCCGTCAGAGAGCCGGCGTGGTGTCACGGTTGGTGCCAGGGTTCCCTCTAAGCTGAGTCGGTGTGAGCCAGCTCACAGTTTTTCAGCCTTCGGCTCACACATTTCTGTCTCGGCTCAGGAAGGAGGGCTCCAGAGTAAACTCATTTATGCAGCAGCCAAATCGCCCGCTGACAACTTTAATGCCAGGAGCTCACAAAGTAGAATTTTTGCTCACAATATCCCCACAGCTTAGAGGGAAGAAGAAGAAGAGGGGGGGGAGGAGGTTGGATTTATACCCCACCCACCCTTCACTCGTAGTCTCAGAGTGGCTTATACACTCCTTTCCCTTCCCCTCCCCACAGCAAGCACCCTGTGAGGCAGGTGGGTCTGAGAGAGCTCTTGACAGAAACTGCCCTTTCAAGGACAGCTCTTGTCAGAACTACGCCTTGCCCAAGGTCATCCAGCAGGTGCAAGTGGAGGAGTGGGGAATTGAACCTGGTTCTCCCAGATTAGATAACAGACACCCTGGGAAGTAGGCGGGGCTGAGAGAGCTCTGAGAGAAATGGCTCTTTTTCAAGGAGAGCTCTTGTCAGAACTGTGGCTTGCCCAAGGTCATCCAGCAGCTGCAAGTGGAGGAGTGGGGGAATCAACCCCAGTTCTCCAGATTAGAGTCTGCGCTCTTAACCACTCCATCAAACTGGGAGCATTGACTGGCGCATCGGACTGGGATCTGGGAAACCCGGTTTCGAATCCCTGCTCTGCCACGGAAGCCGGCTGGGTGACCTCAGGCCAGTTGCACGCCCTCAGCCTCCCCTGCCCTCCCAGGGTTGTTGGGAGGATAACACGGAGGCGGGGAGAATGACGCAAGCAGTTTTGGGTCCCCATCGGAGAGAAAGACAGGGAATAAAAGTAAGTAAAATAAAATCGTCCCTTGACGTGGGGTGTGACATGAATGCCTCCAATGGGGAGGAGTAGAGATGTGAAGGCCCGGGAAAAAAACCGGGTTTCTTCCGTTTTTTTCCTGAAGCCTTTTTTGTTTTTTTCTGAAAAATTGGAAAAATTGAAAAAAGAAAAGAAAAAAATTGATTATGGAACGTTTTATTTTAACATGATGAATAAAATATTTTAAGACAAGGTGTTCAAATATTTTCCGAATCATTTCTAAAAAATATGTGTGGTATCAGATTGATCTAATTTCTGTGCACTGAGGACAAGCAAGTCCTAGGTTACAAACTGAACTCTCCAATGCAAGAACAAGATGCATTTCTTCCTTTAGGAGGTGCTATTGTCACGAGAAAAGAAAAAGGTTTCCGTTTTGTTTTTGCATGTGGGCGGGTATTCTTTTTGTAATAACTGTTTGGATATACTATGTTTTTAATATGCTAGCTGTGATAATTTCATGCCAAGTAAAAAGGTCCATAGTCATATTTTATGTTCCTAAAGTAACAGAATGACTTTCAATCTAGAAAATGTTTCCAAAAATTTCCATTTTTTTCCGGAAAAAAACTGGAGGAAAAAAACGGGTTTTTTTCCGAGCTTCAAAATTTCCGGAAATTTTACATCTCTAGGGAGGAGCATAAATGCGAGCCGTGCCAAGTTCCCGGACGGCTTGCCGATAACCTTGGAAGCCACGAGAGAGCAGAAGAGGATCCCCCCTGGGGGCAAGAGAGTCCTCCTCGTCCTTTGCCGTCACCCCTCGCTCCTCTGTGTGTTCAAAAAGTTTCCCTCGGTGGAAAGGCCCAAGCTTTCCTCTGCGCCAGACTCTGAGTTTGTAAGTAAGCCAAAAAAAAAAAAACCAACCGTGATATTACTATGCAATCTATTCAGTAATTATTATCAAGCATTTATATTTTGGTACAAATGACACAAGAAGAAGAAGAATAGATTGGATCCATACCCCGCCCTTCACTTGGAGTGTCAGGGCGGCTCACGATCTCCTTTCCCTTCCCCCTCCCCGCAACAGACACTCCTGTGAGGTAGGCGGGGCTGAGAGAGCTCTCTCGAGTACTTGTGACTGACCCACAGTCACCCCAGCAGCTGCATGTGGAGGAGTGGGGAATCAAACCCGGTTCTCCCAGATTAGAGTCCGCGCTCCTAACCCCGACACCAAACTGGCTCTCTCAAAACACATTCCAGTGCAAAATATACAAATATTTAAAGTGTCCTTGTCAATCAAACTGTCCGTGCTGAAAGTTCCTCGGAATAATACAGCTCACAATGGATTAGCACAGTTCTTTCTTTGACACAGAGGTAAGTTATTCCAATTCAACTGCCGTGGCTCCCGTGGCTCTGACGGGCCAGTTCCACACCCGTGTTCGGTCCTTTATCCAGGTACCGCAGCAGTCAAATACGTTTTTTCCTCTCTGCTTATTCAGTCTGTTTTGAAGAGTGTTTTCTGCTGCAGACCTTGAAATCGCTGTTTACATTAAGCTTAATGCAGCATGAGTGCTTACAAGGACACTTAAAATATTTGTGTATTTTGTATTGGAATGTGTTTTTTGTCATTTGTACCAAACTATAAATGCTTGATAATAATTACTGAATAGATTGCATTATAATATCAGTGTCATTTTTTGGTTTACTTACAACCTATCCCGTGATCCCACGTTTCTATAAGCTCTGAATCTGAGAAGAGCTGGAAGCCGGGTCCCCGCGGGAGGCCCCCGGGGTCGTGCGTGTGTCCCCCCTCCCCCAGTCTGACTGTCCTCCTCCTTTGGTTGCCCAGGTCATGGGAGGCCTAGACGGCGACATGTTCAACTACTACAAGATGCTGATGCTGCAGGGCCTGATTGCTGCTCGGAAGCACATGGACAAAGTGGTCCAAATCGTGGAGATCATGCAACAAGGTACCCGCGGGCTTCCCCGTCCCCTCCCCGGGTCTGTCTCCGAGGGGCTCTGGGTTCAGGCAGGGTCACCGGGTGCCTTAGGCCAGGTATCCTTCTGTCCCCCCCACCCCACCACCATCCTACTGGGTTTCTGAAGAGTTGCAAAGGATTCTGGGACGCAGCAGAGGGGGCAGGGAGTGGCTTGGGTGTAGCAGGAAAGTGAAGGCTGTCGGCCGAGGAACAGATACCATTCATTTGGGTGGGGGGGGGGTGTTTATGCTCGCACGCCACAGATGCCTGAATTCTCTTTGAAGTAGCTGCAAGATAACTTGACAATTTAACACTGAAGGCTTGTGTAAATTAAAAGTGAACGCATACCCAGAGCAGGAGGGGCCCTGGCTCAGTGCTAGATCACCTTCTCAGCCTGCAGAAGGTCCCAGGTTCAGTCCTCAACATCCCGGGCGAAAACGATCAGGCTGGAGGTGATGGGAAAGGCCTCCGCCTGGGACCCTGGAGAGCTGTAAAGAGGGGCTGTGGCTCAGTGGAAGAGCCTCTGCTTGGCATGCAGGAGGCCCCCCGGTTCAGTCCCAGGCATCTCCAGTTAAAAAGGACCAGGCAGGAGGTGATGGGAAAGACCTCCGCCTGAGACCCTGGAGAGCTGTAAAGAGGGGCTGTGGCTCAGTGGCAGAGCATCTGCTTGGCATGCAGAAGGTCCCAGGTTCAGTCCCTGGCATCTCCAGTTAAAAAGGACCAGGCAGGAGGTGATGGGAAAGACCTCCGCCTGAGACCCAGAAGAGCTGTAAAGAGGGGCTGTGGCTCAGTGGAAGACCCTCTGCTTGGCATGCAGGAGGTCGCAGGTTCAATCCCCGGCATCTCCAGTTAAAAAGGACCAGGCAGGGAGCTGATGGAAAAGACCTCTGCCTGAGACCATGGAGAGCTGTAAAGAGGGGCCGTGGCTCAGTGGCAGAGTCTCTGCTTGGCATGCAGGAGGTTCCAGGTTCAGTCGCCGACCCCGTCATGTCCAGTTAAGAAGGACCAGGCTGGAGGTGATGGGAAAGACCTCCGCCTGAGACCCTGGAGAGCTGTAAAGAGGGGCTGTGGCTCAGTGGCAGAGCCTCTGCTTGGCATGCAGGAGGTCCCAGGTTCAGTCCCCGGCATCTCCAGTTAAAAAGTACCAGGCAGAAGGTGATGGGAAAGACCTCCGCCTGAGACCCTGCAGTCAGAGAAGGCACTTCTGATCCTGATGGACCCAGGCTCTGATCCAGGATAAGGCGACCGCATGCGGTCAAGCTGCCTTCTCCCCGGTCAGACCCGTTATCCGCCTCTGTCTCCTCTGAGTGGCGGCACCTCTCCAGGGTCTCGGGCGGAGGTCTGTCACCTCACCTTTGAACTGGAGATGCCGGGGATTGAACCGGGGACCTTCTGCGTGCCCAGCCTTCGCTTGGCCACTCAGCCCGCGGCCCTCTCCCCTGAATAAAGGGCGCCACAAGCACTAAGGATGCCGAAGGACGCAGGCTGAGAGGAGGAGAAGAAGAAGAAGAGATTGGATTTATACCCCGCCCTTCACTGTTCCAACCAATGCTCCCTCTGAGCTGTGGAGTCTTGTGAGCAAAATTCTACTTTGTGAGCTCCTGGCATTAAAGTTGTGAGTGAGCAATTTGGCTACTGCATAAATCACGTTTGCTCCGGAGCCCCATCCTTCCTCCTGAGCTAAGGCAAAAAGGTGTGAGCCAGAGGCTAAAAAACTGTGAGCTAGCTCACACTAACTCAGCTTAGAGGGAACACTGGTTCCAACCTATACATTGTGGCTGAGAGAGAGAGGGAGATTGGGTTTCTGCCCCGCCCTTCACTACCCAGAGGAGTCTCAGAGCGGCTGACAACCTCTTTTCCTTTCCCCTCCCCACAACAGACATCCTGTGAGGTGGGTGGGGCTGAGAGAGCTCTCTTGAGGACTGCTCTTGAGAGAACAGGTCTGAAAGAACTTGCGACTGACCCAAGGTCACACCAGCAGCTGCATGTGGAGGAGGGGTGGGGAGTCAAACCTGGTTCTCCCAGATTAGAGCCCGCACTCCTAACCCCGACACCAAACTGGCTCTTAGGATGAGGATGATGATGCTTTCTGCCAGCAGGGGTCATTTCGTAGAAAAAGAGGTGCAGGAGCTCATTAGCATACCTCAGGGGGGGGACGTGCAGATCTGTCATTGCAAAGGAGGGAGAGCTTGTACCTGAATAAAACTTGATCTTAAAGATGCCACTGGACTGTTTTGGACTGGGTGTCTGGGGGGAGCTCTGCAACTTACCTTGCTGCTTCTTGCTCTGACTGAGGGCTGCTGGGAGCAGGGGGCGGGGCTTGTTGCATGTGCCCACCCCCTGGGCTCCTTACTGCCGGAGCTCCGCTCCTGTGCGCTCCTGCAGGAAATGACCCCTGCTTTCTGGCAGAATCATAGAATGTTAGAGTTGGAAGGGACCTTGAAGGTCATCTAGTCCAACCCCCTGCACTCTGCAGGAGCATAGCTGAAAGATAGCCCTACAACATACCCGAAAGATGGTCGTCCAGCCTCCGCTTGAAAACCTCTGGCGGAGGAGCATCCACCACCTCCCGAGGCAGACTGTCCCATTGCTCAACCACTCTTACAGTCAGGACGTTTCTCCTGATATTTAGCCGGTAACGACTCCCTTGTAATTTCCACCCATTAGACCTAGTCTTGCAATCCGGAGCAAGAGAGAAGCGATCTGCTCCATCTTCTACATGGCGGCCCTTCAGATACTTGAAGGCTGCAATCCTGTCCCCTCTAAGCCTTCTCTTTCCCAGGCTAAACAGACCCAACTCCTTCCGCCTTTCCTCGTAAGACTTGGATTCCAACCCTCTCACCATCCTGGTTGCCCTCTTCTGGACACCCTCGAGCTTGCCGTCATCCTTCCTCAAATGTGGTGCCCAGAACTGGACACAGGACTCCAGGTGCCACTATCTCGCAAAATCCTTTTTGAAGTGAGTCCTCCAGAACTGCACACAGGACTCCAGCTGTCTAGTCTGTTGACGTGTGCCCCCCTCTCTCCCCCCCGCCCCCGGCCAGGTTCCCAGCTGCCCTGCTTCCACGGCTCCAGCACCATCCGCAACCTGAAGGAGCGCTTCCACATGAACATGACGGAGGAGCAGCTCCAGCTGCTGGTCGAGCAGATGGTGGACGGCAGCATGCGCTCCCTCACCACCAAGCTCTACGACGGCTTCCAGTACCTCACCAATGGCATCATGTGAGACGCCCGGCCTCCTCCCCTCCCCCCCTTCCTCCCCTGCCGCCGGAGACCCCGGAACCGACCCGGAGAGGGAAGAGGAGGAAGCGCCGCCCTCCTCCGCGCCCTCCGCCAAGGGATGCCGGGCCGCGGGGCTTCGGAGCCAGGCGCCGTTATTACCGGATTCCTCGAGACTCCCGTGGGGGACGGGGCGGGGGACGGACACACACACACCCCGCCCCGCCCCGAACAGTAGGAACCCTTTTCCTGTGAACGCGCAAAGGATCATGTGGGAAACTGTTGACATTCTCCTTTTAAAGCAACCAGCCAGGACCGAGCCCCTTGCTCGCTGGACGCCCGGAAACCATGTTTCGTGTCTTTGTCTGTCCGCCCGCCTGTCTGTCTGTCTGTCTCGCCCTCCTTCCTCCAGCTCTTTATTTCAGTATTATACCTCTTTTGACCATCCTGTGAAGCCTCTCCCGGCAGCCTGGCAAATGTCGATGGGGGGGGGGGGTATGTGTGCGAACAGGGGGCTTAGCCCCCCCAGAAAGCCCCCCTTTTTGAGCCCTCACTCTGTCTCCTCCCAATGCCGGTGAGCTGGCCTCCCCCACCCACCCAACCCCGCGCACGTTTTCATCTGCATCTGGCCCGGTGGCTGGATCCCGCCCCCACCCGCCCCGTCGTTTTCCTCCTGCACATTGGGATGCAAACTCACAGATGGCACAAGGGGCTTGTTTGGGCCGCACACACACATTTGCTCCGGAGCACCTCCTGTGCTGCCCCCCGGAACTCTTGGGGCCGCTCGGGGGGGGGGGCTTCCGTCTTGCACCTTAAACGTATTTCCAGAGACCCGGTCCACGGCTCGGCTTCTCTGCAGTTGCCTCCCACTCGCTGGGCCGTGTTTAGTTTCACGCCGCGTCACCAACGCCTCCTGGTGTTCTGCTCCTGGGATGGTCAGAAGTCCCTGGGAAGCCGCCGGTGGGCGCTGCCCTCTTCCTTCTGGGCCCCGCCCTCCCCTCTTGTCTGTCCGGACAGCGGGCGACTCATCCTCTGCCTGGGCTGCCCACCGCGGCTCTCACGCACCCCGCGCCCAGAAGAGAACGCTCTCCCTGGTCTCCTCTGCCCCCTCCTCGGCCACAGTCATCCCAGTTCCCAGCTCCCGGCAGAGGACAGCCGCAGAACGCAGACCGATGTGGCCTCCCTTTGCCCTTCTGCCTGCCAGTGTACGTGAAGCCTTGCCTCCCTTTGTTAGCAGACTCGGGCCCCACGTTGAGGCCCCCTGAATCTCGTGGCCAGCCTCCTTTAATTTTGGGGTCCGGTATCCTGAGAAAGAACTGCCCGTCGCGTCGAAGGTATTCCGCGCCGCCGCCCGGGCACAGACCCTGAAAGATGTGACGATTTGCAATGTGAATTTCAAAAATCATCGGGCCCGGGGGCTGGGGGGGGGCTGGGGCTTTTCTGTTCTTTCTCTGTCCTCAACTCACGCCCCCCCCCCCACACACACACACCCTTGGCTGGTTCTCGACCCGCTGAGACAGCGACCGCTTCCTTGGTTCTCTCTGGGTGACCCAAAGGCATTTCCACGGATGCAGACGTGGAGCTCCTTTCTCTGGCTTTTGGAAGGTTATGAAGCTGTGCCCTGGGTCTGTGGGGGGAAGGGGGGATATCTGCGTGGGCTTGCCCCATTCCTCCCCCATTTCTTTTCTGTTGCATGTCCCACCCCACCCAACTCCTTCTGTGTGCCTGGATATAGGAGTTGGGGGGGGGGGTTACTGAATCTCTTTCTTCTCTTGAGTGGGATCCCACGGATCTCTTCCGCAAACAGCGCGCTCCCCTCTAGCCCGGGGAAAGCTCCTCGCGCCTCAAGGGAGCGTGCCATTTGCGGAACCAATCCGCGGGATGCAGCCCAGGCGAATGCCGAAGGAAGGGAACGAAGACGGGGTTTGGGAACCGACGGGTGAAAAAAGAAAGGGGAGGCAGCCCAGTACATTCCTCGACCTGTGGCTGTCTCTCGCTTAAACAAAAGACCCACAGAGTCCTTTCGGAAACGTGGTGTTTGCAAGGCGGTGGGTCCCCGGAAGGCCGCGGCAGCCACGCCGGTGAAATCCCCCAGAACCCTGCTGGCTCCTCTGCCTTCGCAGGGAGATTCCCCGAGAGTCTGCCGAGGGTTTTGGCATCCCGCTCGCTGGCCCTTTTGCCTTCCTGGCTCCCTGCAACTTTAGAGTTTGTTATCCCTTTCGAACGGGTTCCTCCTTGCAGGAGACCCTTTTGGGGGGGGGATGCAGCCGTGCCGTGGGTCAGCCAGGCTTGTGGCCAAAGGGATCCAAGAGCGGGAGGGGGGGGGGGAGTCGTTGATGGTGTGTGTGAGCCCAGCAAGATCTACAGCATCAGCTCTGTTTTGCAGAGGGCGGGGGGACAGGTCCCGGGGCGAGGTCGGCCGAGATCCCGTTAGCTGTCACCAAAAGAAGAGATGCGGCCCCTCTTCTCGGCGGGAGCGGGGAGGAAACTGGGAAGGAGGGAGCCCCTTTCTGACTTCACTGGCTGAGAGCTGCCCTCCAGTAGCCACACACACCCCCAGTTTCTGGGAAGCTGTCCCGCCCCCCATGTCCACCTCTGGCGGATGTGGCTGAGCCAGAAGCGCGTCTCTCTCCTTGCGGTTTGGCTCCGTCCACACAGGAGCCGTCGAAAAACCCCGAACGTGCTGCGAAGCCTCTGGCCGCCGGTAGTGGCCACTGCATCCAGTAGCTGCTACAGTCACCCGCGAGCCGCCCCCTCTGACCTTCGCTGTCACCACGATCCTCTGGCGGCGTGGTGGTGCCAAGAAGGCGGAAAGGAGCCTTCTAGAGGTCAGGGCACGTGAAGAGTCACGCAGGGGCCTCCTCCAAACTCTTCCAGTGCTGTCCAGGACGGGGTTTTGTGGGAGTTGGATGAGCTGAACAAGGGGGGTGAGGTGGGGTTTTTTTTGGGGGGGTGGGCCCTAGTAGCCGTCAGTCAAATGTCTGGGCTTGTGGGCAGGTATTGGGGGGGGACAACCAACGGCTACCACTTCTGTTTGGAAGAGCCGGCCAGAGAAACAGCTGTGTCAAGGGTCACTCGGCCTCACCGCAACGCGCCCTCTCGTTTCTCCTTGTTCCCGACACATCTGTGCATGTCCCAGTCTCTCCCCCCTCCCTCTGTGCGCGCCTGTGTGTGTGGGGGTGGGATGTGTGACTATCTTTTTCTTTTATTTTCTTTCTTTCCCCTATTCAGTAAGGATGGGCCAAACTCCAAAATAAAATCTATGAAATGAACTTGGCATTTCTAATTAAAAAAAATATGTCTCTTTTATATATAGATACACCCAAGCGCATATATATATATATGTATAAAAAAGAAAATGCAACCTGACTGTTGGAAGTGATGTCGTTCACCTCTCTGTGTCTGTTTGGGGGCGAAGGCGACCTTCGTGGGGGGGACAGCCGGAGGGGTGGAATCGCCAACCTCCAGGTGGTGAGAACACAACAAGAGGTAAAAGGTAAAGGTTTCCCTTGCCCGAAAGCCAGTCGAATCCGACTCTAGGGTTGCGGTGCTCATCTCCGTTTCAAAGCCGGAGAGCCCGCGCTGTCCGAAGACTTCTCCGTGGTCATGTGGCCGGCATGACTAAACGCCGAGGCACACGGAACGCTGTTACCTTCCCACCGAAGCGGTACCTTTTAATCTACTTGCAATTTCTTGCTTTCGAACTGCTAAGTTGGCAGGAGCCAGGGCCAGAGACGGGAGCTCACTCCGTCACGCAGCACTCGGGTCTCGAACTGCCGAACAACTGACCTTCTGGTCTGCAGTTCAGCGTCTTAACCCCTTGAGCTGCCGCGGCCCCTACCAGAACGCCTCCTTACATCAACTGCTGGGGACCGGGTGGGTGGGAATATGCTGGTATAGAGTGAAGATACCCCGAAGAAGAAAAACAGTATTAACAGCAGCAGAAAGACCAAGAGGCGCAACGGCGACGTGTGCTGCAAACTGGTCCCATGCAGCCGTGGTTTCATTGATCTACATTATTTATCGTCTGCCTTACTGGGGCGCAAGGTGGATTACGCAGCGCCGGTGAGTCAAAGACAATTAACAGGATGGGGCAGCTAATGAAGAATGCATTAAGGTTTGGATTGCAGAAACGGGGAGCCACCCGGACGTCTGAAAGCGGAGCTGAGATGAAGCGTAAGCACTGACGTGGCTCGTTAATCGATGCAGAAACTGAGCGGTAGAGTCCTCCTTCCGGCAAGAGACAGCATGGGCTATACACGGTAGCCTCCCCCCCCCCCCCCCCCAACCCTTTACCCAAGCGTCTTTCTGAACCATTTTGTTACAGGACAGCCCTATTAGCTCTGTAACAAAAGCCCTCTTGAATAATTCAGGCTCAGAGGGCGGCCACTGCAGGAGTAGCACTAGATTCGAGTCCAGTTCAGTGTTCCCCCTAAGCTGAGTTAGTGTGAGCTAGCCCACAGTTTTTTAGCCTCCGGCTCACACGTTTTTGTCTTCGCCAGGTGTTAAGTCGGCTACTTAACAACGAGTCAGAGAGTGATTTCAGCAAAAGATCAGCTTTATTCAGCAACTCGTAACTCAACTCCAAACAGATCAACACGAATAGCCAGAACAGCTTTTACATTGAAGCTGTTCTGCTTTTAAACTCTCCCGGCTAATGTAGCCACGCCCTATTATACAATATCAACCTATGAGGTTGCAGGGATAAGGTCCAATCACAATAGTTCCCACTCTTGGAACTGGCTGTTGGTGATTGGTCGGCTCTTCCTGGGCTACCAATTACAAGTGAGGGATTAGGATCCTAGCCCAGGATGAAAGCTTCACATGGTGTTTCAATGACAGAGTTCACATACATATATTGGTCAGATTGAATACACCACAAATTCCTCCCCCCTAAGTAAAAACCACCTTAGCATTCATACTAAGATAAGTTGGTGCACGGCGCAACCGCTGAGACCTGCGCAGCCGTGCAGGCTCAGGACACAACTCAGCATGGGGGACTCTGCTTGACTCTTGGTTTTCTGAGTCAGGTACCGTGTCACTTGGGGTTGCAGCCTCGAAGGTAGGGGTCTACCCTACTTCGGGGACAGTACTGGGCAGCGCAGTATTCACCTCCCTGGTCGGAGATTGGGGTCGGTCCTCTGGTTCGGGAGACGCAGCCGGCTGGGAGTCTAGGCTTTCCTTTGCCCACCGCTGCCTAAGCTGGTCTACGTGGCGTCGCCACTTGCGTCCGTTTGCAAGCTCGACCACGTACATGCGTGAACCAATTACCTCCCCCACTATGGCTGGAAGCCATGGATAATTTCTCTGAATAACTTCTCGCGAAAACCGTGTCACCCTTCTCATAAGTGCGAACTTTTCCAAGTGCACTCTGCTGCTGGGGCCTTAGATCGTTCAGATCTGGGTGTAACCGATCTAAAAGCGTGGTGAGGCGACGCCCCATCAGCAGCTCGGTCGGGCTGCGGCCTGTGGCTGAACAAGGGGTAACGTGCTGGCGTAGAAGGTACGAGGCCAGTTTTACCCCCCAATCGCCCTGTGTAAGTTTGCTCAGGGCTTCTTTGGTCGTCCTGACCATTCTCTCCGCTTGGCCGTTAGAGGCTGGGTGAAAGGGAGCCGATGTCAGGTGCCGAATCTTGTTATCGGTTAGGAACTGAGTGAACTCCCTAGAGGTAAACTGCGTGCCGTTGTCACTCACCAGCACATCTGGTAGCCCGTGGGTGGAGAACAAACGGCGCAGCACATTGATGATGGCGATCGAAGAGGTGGAGTGCATGTGTGCAACCTCCAGCCACTTCGAGTACGCGTCAACAACTAAAAGAAGCATTTGTCCCTGAACAGGCCTCGCAAAATCCAGGTGAAGCCTGGACCATGGCTTTCCTGCAGATTCCCATCTCTGCGGTGTAGCGGTAGGAGGCTCGGGCCTGGCCTGTTGACAGGGCATACACACCCTCACCCACTCTTAGATATCGACGTCTAAGCCGGGCCACCAAACATACCCCCGTGCCAGCGCCTTCATATGTATCATCCCAGGATGGCCTTCATGGAGGGATTCCAGGACTTTCTCCCTGAGTTTCCCTGGCACGACTACCCGGTTCCCCCAAAGTACGCAACCCTTTGAGATGGATAACTCATTTTGGCGCACACCGAACGATTTGAACTCTGGCTCCACAGTCCCTGCTGGCCACCCCCTCCACACCCAGTTTAAAACGCAGGCAAGTACATTGTCCTTCGCTGTCACAGCAGCAATGTCCATGGAGGAGACTGGGGCTTGAGGCAGTTCGTCGATGGCTAGCACCGTGCTAGCTGGAGCAGGGTCCAAGTCCTGGCTGGGTAGAGGGCAGCGACTGAGGGCGTCTGCGTGTCCAATCGCCTTGCCCGGCCGGTGTTCAAAGTCATAGTCATATGCGGTGAGGAAAATGGCCCACCGTAACATTCGAGGGGACAGGATATTTGGAATTTGCCAGTCCAGGGCAAAGATTCCCAACAGGGCTTGTGATCTGTCACAAAAAGAAACTTCCGCCCATAAGTCATGGGATTTCTTTACCGCTGATACCAGTACTAACCCCTCCTTATCAATCTGAGCGTAATTCTTTTCCGCTGCAGATAACGATTTTGAATAGAACGCAATTGGGGCTTCACTGCCGTCCGGCATTAAGTGGCTAAGTACCGCCCCCACCCCAAACGGAGAGGCATCAGTTGCAAGCACTAACAGCTTCTGCTCGCCGTAGTGCGTTAAGACAGCATTAGACGACAGTAAGGCCTTAACGCCGTCAAACGCCCGCTCGTGTTCAGAGCCCCATTTCCATTTTGCGTCCTTGTGAAGGAGCGCATGCAAAGGCGCTGCCACTGACGCTTTGTGTGGCAGAAAAGCGTGGTAGAAATTTAATAGTCCTAGAAAGGACTGGAGCTCTTTTTTGTTGAGGGGTCGTGGGGCACTCTTAATAGCCGCCAGTTTGTCCTCAGTGGGGTGGACACCACTTTTGTCGATCGGAACCCCAGAAACTCCGCACTCGGGACCCCCACAAAGCACTTTGACTGTTTTACCTTCAGGCCAGCAGACTTAAACCGCTCCAGCACTGTCCATACTCGTTCCATCAGCTCTTTTTCTGATCCCCCTGCAATCAGTACGTCATCAAAGTATGGAACAGTGCCAGGCACCCCTCTGAGTAATCCTTCCATGAGACCTTGAAAAATCCCTGGGGCTACATTAACTCTGAACTGGAGTCTCTTTACCTTGAAGGCCCATCGGTGTGTGACTATCGTCTGGGCCTCAGCTGCCTCCTTGGTCACTGGCAGCTGCTGGTATGCTTGAGCTAAGTCAAGCTTTGCAAATATTTTCCCTCCCGCCAGGATGTGGCTGATGATGGGTACAGGATATGAGTGCTGCTGTAAGGCACGATTAAGGGTGCACCTATAGTCAGCACAAATCCTTATAGACCCGTCAGGTTTAACAGGTATGACTATGGGTGTCTCCCACCTGCTAAATGGTACCGGCTCAAGTACCCCCTGGTCGATCAGCTTGTCCAGCTCTGCTTCGATCTGGGGTTTGAGCGAGATGGGCATCTTTCGATATTTTAATCGAATCGGGGTCACGGAGGGATCCAGTTCAAACGATATGGGGGGCCCATTGTATCTTCCCAGGCCACCCCCAAACACTTCAGGGAACTCAGCATACAACAATGCCCATTTATTTTCAGTAACGGTATTCACACCTGTAATGCCAATACCCAGGGGTTCGAACCAATCCAGGCCAAGCAGGTTAACCCGGTCCCTTTCAGCAACCAACAGTGATAACTGAACACATTTCCCCTTAAATTCAACATTGAACGTATCCCTCCCCGCCAGAGGAATACGTTTTCCCTGAAAATCTGATACCCGCCTGTCCGCTGGCTTCAACCGCCGCCGACTTCGGGTTGGAAACGTTTTCGTGGAGATCACTGTAACTGATGATCTGGAGTTGACCTCCATGCTGCACGGAACGCCGTTTAGGAGGGGGGTGACGTGGATCTTCCCCTGACCCCCGGTGCGAAGGGCGGTCGATGCGGATGACAGGCTCGTTGTCATCTGACAGCTTGCTTCCTTGACCGCTGCTTGTGAGCGCTGGTTCCTCGGTGACGATGCCGGGCTTCCTTGCACTCCCGCCGGCCTTGCAGGTCCACCGCCGGGCCCCTCATGGGGCTCGGCAGTGGAGCTGCAAGGCCGCCGGCGGTGGCCGGGACCGTTGGGGGCGGGGTGTGTGGCCTTATGACACACTTCCGGTGGTGTCAGGGGGTGTGGCCTTAGGACACACTTCCGGTGATGTCAGGGGGTGTGGCATATGCTAATGAGTTATGCTAATGAGTTCCCCTAGCTCTTTTTC